TCCATTTCCGACGTGACTGATGGAACAAGCGGAAGAGACTTGGGCACCTACAGTGTGCGGCGGAGTGTATTTGCCTACTGACGAGTGTGCACTCATATACTGTATATCACAACTATACACGACTAGATTACAATATAACAACATTGAAGTATATATTAATATACGAAAATATAATAAGCCCCTAGTATACTAATATAGCGTTAAATACCATATAGACAGCGGGAGTCTGGTGCCTGATGTGTTAAAATACTTGCGTCTCCCACTCCAGTTATGCAGTCTACTCACTGGTGCTGACAATCTTACATGACCAATGTCGGTCCGCCACGGGACATGGATGGATTGCGGTTTGACTTGGAGCCAGAAGAGGTAACTTTTCCCCTTGTGCATAAAGAAGGAAAACGAATTCCTATTACATACGAATATCGAACTTGATGGTACGCCTGCTAGCCGAAGTAGAGACGTATGGTGACATTTGGACGCATGAAGCCGTGGGTGAGCGTCGTCTGGTTTACTCTTCAACAGTCTGCACATGTGGACACATAATACCGGTCTGTTTGAACGTCAATTGCCTCATCAATGCCATGATCTGCTGTCTGGTGCTGAGCTTACGGGGGGCCTCACTGTAGAGCAGGCCCATCCGCCGATTGCAGCCCGCTGTGGTGCAGCGCACCGTTGGCCGTTGGCCACTGGCACAGCCCGGCGCCGTTCGGTGCAGGCAATTGACATATTGACAGTCTGGTGAGTGTAGAATCAATTCAGCGGGCGCAGTATGTAGGAACGGGGCGGCATGCAAGGCCCCCCGTCTCACGCGACACCAAAAGCTTGAGGCCGGCTGATGTTGCCATTGTCCATCTTGTTCTTGTTGGAGTTTGGTTAATACGATGAGATGCGGTTAAGAAACATGTCACTAAGTGAATATATAATGTGGTCGTTCCCTCGCTGAAAACTAGAGAATACATCAAGTCACTTACACCATTCCAAGCATCGCCTCAAGCTGACATCACAACATCAGCGATAACATCATCATCATCACCATCATAAAAAAAAAAACAACCATGGCTGCACACGTCGAGACAACCCGACCCAGAGAGCTGAATGAGCGTCTCACGGGAGAGCTGCTGCCTGCCAGAGGCGCCTCCATCCAGCCCGCGGACGGCAAGAAGTCAGTGCCGCGCCTCTGGGATCTCGGAGACGCATTCGCCGTGTCTGCCCTCAAGTCTCCATGGTACCAGTCGCTGTTCGACATCCAGAGCACCTTCTTCCACGCCTCCATCGACTTCTTCCGCAAGCCCGACCTCGACTACAGCTACCTGCTGGTGCCGCTGACCACGGGCAGCATCAGCTCGCCCATGGGCCTGGGGTCCGACTCGATGCCCGTGTCCATCAAGCTGCACGGCGAGGACACGTACCTCGCCGACTCGCAGCAGTTCCTCCTCGAGTACGCCCTCCGGTACAACGACAAGGCCCAGGGCGCCTACTACGTCGGCACCAGCTGCCGCGGCGAGGACCACGACAGCACCCACCTCAACCAGTTCTGCCACGTCGAGTGCGAGCTGCGCGGCGGCCTCGGCGCCGGCATGGACGTGGCCAACCGCTACATCGTCGCCGTGACCGAGGAGCTGCTCCGCCGGCACGGCGACGCCATCAAGGCCCAGGCCGGCTCGACGCAGCACATGACGGACCTGCTGCAGCTGTTTGCCCGCAACGGAAACAAGTTCCCCACCATCACGCTGGACGAGGCCCTGCGCCTGCCCGAGATGCAGAAGGGCGAGGGCACCATGTGGGAGTACACCGTCGCCGGCCGCCCCGAGTGCGGCCGCTCGCTCAAGCGCAAGGGGGAGCAGGCCCTCGTCGCCCGCTTCGGCGGCGCCTGCTGGGTCGTCGAGATGGACCACCTCGGCGTGCCCTTTTACCAGGCCTACACCGACGCCACGGCCAGCAAGGCCCTCTGCGGCGACCTGCTGCTGGGCCTGGGCGAGGTCGTCGGCTGCGGGAACCGGCACACCACGGCCGACGAGGCCCTGGCCGCTCTGAAGCAGCACGACGTCGACCCCGCCTGCTACGCCTGGTACGTTGAGATGCGCAAGTTCAAGGCCCTCAACACGACCGGCTGGGGTATCGGGTCTGAGAGGTTCCTGAGCTGGGTCTTGCAGCATGACGACGTGCGAGATGTCCAGCTTCTGCCTAGGCTCAAGGGGCTCAACTGCGCTCCTTGAGGGGGACAACTTGTGTGCGACGAAAAGTTGTATATATCGGTCGGAGTTGTATATTTTAGCTTATTGCGAGTGGCAACCATGGGCAATCTAGAAAAAGAAGAATAAAACTATTATTACACCAGACGACCGGCTTTGACGGAGCCGTCTATTCTCTACCATACTACAGTGTATTAACGTATACGTCTTGATTGGTGAACGTGATTCTGCCACGGATTATAGATGGCGCAGTATTAAAAACGATCTGGTCAAATGTCCATTTGTTGAAGCGCAATACTTGGTGATATCCTCCTCTAAACTGTGACACGTGACTTGATTGTGTATGTACTTTAGTCTGTGAATTTGAACAACATGTTGGCAAAATACCAGCACTGCTGTGTTGTATGAGATAATGAGACCCATCTCATGAGACTGAATGCGCCTGCTTGTGTTGCGCCGTTTGGTCCGTTCGGTCGCGTGAGCAATTGCCGTCCCTTTGCGGTATTCCATCGTGTGAGCAATTGCCGTCTCCGTGCGCCGATCTGTCGTGGCAGCAATTGCCGCCCATGTCAATGGCAGATCATGGCAACGCTCCCCTGCAAAAGGATCTCCGCAAATGGAGCTGTTCATGGCTCGGCACCCGGGACACACATGCCACCATGGACAGGCCACAGTCTGGATGTGGTGCCGAATCGATGGGGATGGGGGCGGAGCAGCCTTGGCGTTTGACAAGGCGGCAGTTGCCTTATGCGGAAACAATTTGAGATCTCTTGATAACTACATCTTTGCTGGCTACACCTCTTCCCACTCGACTTGTACTTGCCACCTTTGGGCGTGTTTCGACTTTTGGACCACTCCATCTTTGTCTGTGCAACGGGTTAGAATGGCCACATGTCCATCGGGACCTCACGAGTGAGAACGGACAAAGCACATTGGCGCCATGGCCGGCTAATGAGCGACTGGAGCTCATAATAATGCTTGTTATGCGGGTGAGACTAGTTTGCCAAACGTGTCCTTCGCCCCGCCAAGGGACCTTTGCGGCCAAAAGCCCCCGGGGCGAAAAAACACACATGAGAACATACGATGAAGAAAAGAGGGGAGAGGCTAGTCTCTTTGCACTTCTCCTCACACGATCGGGACCTTTGAAATTAATAATACGAAGGGTCTGTACGGAGTACATACGTAAGAACAAAAAAGCTGGCGACCATGGCTCTGGAGTTCATGCGAGATTGATTGCTGGCGCGCTCGTAAAGGGGGGCGCACGGCCCCACATGATGTTGCTACCCGTGTCGCAGCCCCACCCACTCGCGCCTGGTCCGAATTTCCGCGCACGACCAACCAATCGAAGTCGCGGGGAAGGAGCGGGTACTGCCGAGGCAATGGACGCGAGTACGTACTGCCGGGCACGCTGCTGCCGGTGGCGTTTGGCACGTCGCAGCGACGACAGCCGACCTTCCCGGCCCGGAAGTCTGCGCCAGCCGAGAACCGGCTTAGCGCACGGGGCTTTATGCTTGACTGGTTTGTGCTCCGTACATAAGTTGTGAGTCAGCTCGACTGCTCGCACGCTGGGGGCCCTGCATGGCGCAGTGTTGCATCGCAGCCATGGATCGTCTATCCCACTGACTCGCACGGCGCTGGAGTTGCAGGGTTTGTTGGCAGCACCTGCTTGTGTCCGCTTGTGGCCGGCGCCGGGGACGGGCCAGTCTGCGCGGAGGACCTGCGGCGCCATTGTACAAACCAACAATCACCAATACAATAGTGCAAAGCTTCCGAGTATTTTGAGTACTACCACGCAACTTGGAGATCATGGCATTATAGAATAACTATTTTTTCAGGTGTAAAATCGTACCCGTTCAAAAAGTAGGTGTGCTGGACAAGGTTGTGTGCCGTCGTCAATGGTTGGTGGGGGACGGCAAACGGCCACACACACCAGAGAGAGTAGATAAATATCTCGACAAGCCAAGACGTGTGCTTCTTATTTGCCCCCCCTTTCCCATTTCCTCGTCTCTTTTCCACCTCTCCCCAAAATTAAACGCCATGTCTACGACAGCCCAGAAACCCCTCCCCATCATCCATCTCAATGGCTTCCCGGGGACGGGCAAGCTCACCGTCGCGAAATGTCTGCAGAAGATGCTAGGGCCTCACGGCCGCCTGGTTCACAACCACCTGCTCATCAACCCGGCCGACGCCGTGCTGCACCGCACCGAGCCGGGATACCAGGACCTGCGGCGCGCTATCCGCAGCGCCGTCTTCTCGTCTCTGGCGCAGAGCGCCGCCACCCACGACTTTGCCTACCTCTTCACCGACTTCCAGTCCAGCGACCCCGTCGGCAGCGCCACGTGCGCCGAATACCTGAGCGCAGCGCGCGCCAGAGGGTGCTCGCTCGTGTCCGTCGTCATGAGCTGCGACGAGGCCGCCAATGTCGAGAGGCTAATCACGTCGGAGCGCCAGGCGCATGGAAAGATTGTCGACCGCGAGCTGCTTGGCAAGTTTCGCAGCGGCGTGGATATTCACCGGTTTGACGGTCCGGACCACGCCAGCCTAGAGCTGGACGTGACGCAGTTGAGTGCCGAGGAGGCGGCGCACCGGATTCTGCAGCACGTGTTCAGGACTTGTCCCGAGGTTGAACGGGCCGTGGCGGGTGGGAAGGCATCATGACGGCGCAAATAGCTGCAAGGTACTCATAATAGACATTGTTCATGTTCATTCTCTGGACGGTACTGGTGTGATGTTGGGGAAATGATCGTATTATTGTGAAACTACTAGATGTGGATGGATGATTGTACAAGTATGGCAGCAGCGTCTGCGTCAGCCGTCAGAGTCGTCCGTGTCCCCCATGAGGTCCTCCATCTCCGTCACACTGCCTGGCTCTGCGGTGTCTGGCGCTTCTTGCACAACTTGGCCGTCGGAAACGCCAATGAAGCCAAATATTATAAGAACTGACAGGGTAATCACCAGCCCGAATAGGACGATGAAACCCGTACGATATGCGTTGACCACTGAGTCTAGAGTTAGCATCCACTCGCACATGCTCCCAATAGAAGCTGTTGCCTACCTTGAGCCCGGAGTGGCTCCTCTAGAGTTTGCAAGTTGTCCATGTTCAAGCGGACACTGTCAATTTTCTGATTTCGCATGAGTGAACAGGCCTTCATCTTGTCATGTGCGCTTCCAGGCGACTCACCTTTTTGATCTCTTCCGAAGTCATGAATGGCCGCATGGTCTGTTGGAATACGTTTTGCACAATGGTCGTGCTGATGGACGTTGCTGTGAAGCCGCCCAGGGACCTCATCATGATGAAGCCACCATTCAGAGTAGCATGGTTGTTGCGATCGCTCATTCCGAGCAGAAGCAGCAACGCACTTGGAGCCATCATGCCGACGCCCAGAATCGGCATCGCGAGACAGAGGTTATACAGCGCACCCGGAGTCTCGGTCCTCGGAAGGATGGTTGCCATGACCATGAGCCCTGCAGCACCACAGAGCAGCATTACCTGACTGATTCGTAGCGTTGGCTTGGGGGTTTCAAGCCTAGCAATCGTCGCCCCAGAAATCGCACTGACAATCGTGAAGGCGATGGATGGCGCGACAAGGTGAGTGCTGGCTTGCCCTGGAGTCTCGAGCAACACGGCTTGGAAGAAGAATGTAACGTTATACATGACCTTGGTAAGGTTCAATGTTAGTATGTGATGAGCAACGCTTACAAACGCGCGATGCCTCTAAAGCTTTTTTTTAGACTTACAATGTAATTAATGATGGATAAGAAGAAGGCGTTAATCATAATGTTTCTGAAAGGAAACTGGACCAGGACCAGAGGAAGGACTGGCTTCTGGGCGTTTGCCTCGACTCGAACGAGGGCGTACACCGTACAGGGGAATAGAAACAAGGCCAGCAAAACGAAAGGGTTCGTCCAGGGGAGCACGTTTCCGGCGGTTCCCAAAACAAACACCAACAACAGGAGAGAGATGACCTAGACGGGTACAGTTATATTAGCGCTGCCGGAAATAGATGGGCACCAGAAGCGTCGACGCACGAGAACAAGAGCACCGGTCCAATCGAACAAACTGAGAAGACGTCGGCCTTCTGTTGTGTCATCACGCGAACTCGTATCCTCGGATGCCTCGATTGTCCAAGGTATGAAAAAATACACCATGACGAGAGTGACGAGGGCAAAAGGGAGCTGAATCTAGAGGCGGTGTCAGCTTCGATGACCAAGGAGACAAAAAAAAAAAAAACTGGCATACGGACAACGCACCTTGTACAACCAGCTCCAACCAAATCGGTCGACAATGGTACCTCCCGAAACCGACCCGAGCCTACAGACAAAAGTAAGCACATGACACGGCAGTGTGCCAAAAGGTAGAGAGGGTCAAGGGCTGGGATAAATACGCTGAAGCTGATCCAAAATTTACATAGTTCATCGACTGATAATAGCCTCGCTTCTTCACGCCAACAAGGTCAGTCAACACGACGGAGCCTATCTCCGTCACAAGTTAGAAATCGACAAGACTCCCATGCTTGTGTGCAAGTTTGTAGCATACCCATAATGGTCAACCCCGACGAGGCGAGTCCGCAGACGCACCTCGCCAGAATCAGGCAGGTCCAGGAGGGCGCGGCGGCAGCCAGGCCGATGCCGAGCAGGAACAGCGCAGCGCACGACAGGTAGATGGCCTTGCGGCCGATGCAGTCGGACAGGCTGGCATAGAGCGGCTGGACGGTGATGGAGCAGACCAAGAAGGCGGTGACGGGCCAGGTCGAGACATTGGTCCGGTTGAAGTGCGAGGCGACGGCGACGTGGGCAGACGACGACAGGCTGGCGTCGACGGCGGTCATCTGCCGGGCTGGTTAGCGACGCCGGCGGGAACGGGCGCCAAGAGGGAAAGGGACTTGCAAAGTTGGAGACGAGGATGGCTACAGAGAGGCGGGCAGATCAGCAGACGTCCGGTCGACCTGGGCGCGGGTGTGGCAGAGCCATCGACGTACCAGCTATGCTGAGATAGAAGCGCGTGGTGTTTGCCTGTGGCCGGCTGGCGTGTTGGAAGCGGACGGCCATGGGGGGCGGGTTGGGCGAGAAGGACAGTCGACAAGCAAAAGAAGCACAGGAAAACGAGTGTAAAACAATGAATCGTCTTGATTGAGTGATACAGCAGGGCCGTGGATAAAACCCAGAGTGAAAACATGCAAGGGCCATATTCGATCAATGCTTATGTCTACATGCTGCCAGACTGGACGCCAGCCGGCCCGCCCAGCTTCTCCCGCAACCCGTCGGCCACACAGCGCAGGCCGTCGAGATCCCAGCTCCTGGGCCCCAGGGCGGCCGTAAACTCTGCATCGTGCGTACCAGATGCAAAAGGAGCAGGGCTGGGCCAGTGGTGGTCGGGGAACGACGAGGCCACCAGCACCTCGCCGCGCCCAGCCGCCGCCGGGTCCACCAGCAGGGACCAGCTCCGGGCACTGGGGCTGCGGGGGCCGCTACAGGGGCTCCGGGGGCCCTCCAGCTGCAAGGCCTCCCGCAGGCCGCCCTGCAGGGCCCCCCACAGCGCCCCAACCGCCCCCTGCGCCTCGGCCTCGCCCACCAGGAGCAGCCCGCGCCGGCCACTCTGCCGACATGCACCATCTCCCACGCCCGCCCGCCGAATCACCATGGACGTCTCGTGGAACATGGCCGTGTGCCTCTCGGCGCTGTCCTTGCCGTCCTCGCCCCCGTCTTCCCCTTCGGAATCGCGTCGGATGTGCACCGGGAACAGGTGGCCGCCGTCGCCGCCGGGCCAAGTCATCATGGCCACATCCGACACGGGCGACCCGACAAGCTCGACCAGAGCCTTTGCGGCGCGTCGCAGGGTGCCAAACAGGGCAAACACCTGCTCCCTGTCCATGTCGGCGAGACTGGCGCCCTTGAGCTGGAACGTCAGCTGGCCCGGCCGCGTCGGGTGCTTGGACACGCCGATGCGCAGCAGGTCGTCGTCGTAGCAGCACAGGGGGCCGATGACGGGCATGGTGCAGCGAAGCAGCCCGACGTGTCGCTCGCATCGCGCCGCGTCGCCCGCCGAGGCCGTGTTGAAGATCCTGCTGTTGCACTGGGCCGTCTGCTCGCCGTCCGACGTGATGGCGATGACGCCGCACGAGATGGACGGGCAGCGCCGCGTCGCCTCCCAGACGGCCTGCTCGACGGCCCGGGCGATACCAGCGCCGCCCCGGTACAAGTTGGCGATGCGGCCGGCCAGCATGCTCGTCATGATGGCCTCGCCTCCGCCGCTGCTGTAGAAATTAAAGAATCCGTTAGCGAGGCGCGCCGAGGCCACGGGGCGCATCTAGTCACACAACGTACCATGCCACGGCTACCCGCTCGTCCGCGTACAGCCCGGAGCCCAGGATGGCCGTGTCGCCCACCCTCCCGACGGGCTTCATGGTCATGCCGCCGGTGGAATTGGCCGCGGCGACGTTGCCGCGCGCATCCAGCACCACGGCGCCGACGGTGCCGTGCTCAGACGCGTCGGGCCGCTTCTGGCGCCAGTAGCTCAGCCGTCGCTCCGTGCCAAAGTAGCCGTTGTCCACCGTTTCCAGCCCCAGCCGACGCGCGAGCTGGTCGCCGCCGACGCCCGCCATCAACACGGGCGCCGTCGGGCCTCGCCGGTCGAGCATCGCCCGCGCCAGCCTGACCGGGTTCTTGGTCGTCCGCAGGCAGACCGCCGCGCGGTACGCAGAGTCTGCGCCGTTGACGATGCCCGCCTCGAGCTAGTGACGCTCAAGACTCCATGTTAGCTGATAGATGGACGTGCGTGATGCCGTCGGTGCAAAGGGGATTCGGCGCACCTCGAAGCCGCCGTCCATGTTCACGGCGGACCCCTTGCCCGCGTTGAACTCGGGGAAGTCCTCCAGCTCCGCCACCACCTCGGCCGCCACGTCGACGGCCGTGGCGCCCTGCCGGAGAGAGGCTTCGGCCTTGCTGACCAAGGTGTCGAGGAAGGCGTTGGTGGCTTCGAAGCTCGCGGCGTCGCCTACCCACGACTCCGAGGCGCCTCCGTGGAGGACGATTCCTACGGGACCCATGGAATCTCGTGCTTTGGGCGAGGGACAAGGCTGCGCAAAATGGTGTAAATGGGTCAATCGTGGAAACGTGTAATCTTGAGGTCGGACAGAGACGCTGTCCACGCGGGCTGCTCTGAAACTAAATATCCGACGGGCTGGCGCGGATGCTTCGAATGTGACTTGCCCCGGCCAGCCTGCAAGGCCACCAGCTGCAAAGGAAGTCGGCGTCTGTGATCCTGGTGACTAGCCTCGACGGAAGACTCCAATTATATGTACCCACCAGTAATATCTGGGCCTCGGTGAGCTTCCAGGTGGGTGTGAATCTGTGTCCATTGCCCGGCGCCACCATAAAGCATCATGGCTCAATTCATTTACCGACAGTCTTTGGTATCAAAGGTCCTTTTCCTCGGGGCCTAGCCGACGAAAGAGACATGAATGCCAATAGGCCAAGAAACACGGAATAGCCAAGGCTTAGTGACTCAGAAGCATGCTGGATTTACAATTATCACACATCCCAATGCGCCGTCAAAAATGGTCAAGTACCACTAGGTACCAAGGCATCCAAAAGACGTTACTTTTACCCATGGCACCAACGCCGCCAAAATTCTCGACATGATGCATGTACCACTTGCTTTTGCGTACCTGAAGGTTCAAGCGAGGCCGTAGAATTCAAGTCTTTGGAAGACGGTAGTTTCTACTAGACTACCTCGGCGTGTCTTCATACATCTGCCACCACCACTACGCCAGGTCTCTCCCTGCTCCTGCTCCTGCTTCTGCAGTCCACAGACGCCGTCATTGGATCATCTGGTGTCTGGTACACCCAAATCTAGACACTTCAATGTTGCTCAAAGACAATGGTCAGGACTGCCTTCTGGATTCCCCCACCAAGTAGGAAACGGATGCCCCTGACCGCTCGCGCCAAAGACGGCAAACGACAAGACAAAAATGACAATCTGCGATCCGCCGTCCAACGCCGCGCCGATGAGATAGTTGTACTTGTTGTATATCCCCGGCAGCCTTCTGCGAAGCCACAGCTGCGACAAGACGCCAACGGCAATGGACGACCAAATCCAGGACGTGTTGCCGTAATACACCTGTCCGGCATACGACGACACAATCGCCGTGTTGATCGGCCACGCCCGAATCCGCGGCCACGCCCTGCCCAGGGCCCAATGCAGAACCGGCAGCACCGCCCCGATAAGCAGGCCCAGGGGGACAAGCACGTAGCGGCCGCCGGCGGCGTACATTTGCCCGGCGAGCGCCCACGTAATGGCCTGCGAGTTGAGGCTCTGGTACGTTGACCCGCTCCAGATGTTGGTCCCCGCGGGGTCGAGGAGAACACGGCGCTGGTTGGAGACGATTGTCGTCATGACGGCATAGTTGAATCCCGCGCCGAGCAGCGTGCCGTAGACCTGGGTGCCGAACATGACGCGGTGCGGGATCTTGGTGTACTGCCCGACCTTGAGCCAGTTGGCCAGGTTGACGGCCAGCAGGATCACCTGGTGCGACCAGCTCGCAAAGTAGAGGTTGGCCAGCGGCCGGCCCGGGTGCACGGCGCCGGCGACCATTTTGGAAAGCTGGTTGGTGCCGATGCCGGTGCCGTAGAGGCCGTAGAGGAAGCAGGAGAAGGGGGCGATGCACGCTCCCACGAGGAGCGCGACCACGTATCCCCATGCCGGCAGCGTGGTTTCTCCCTTGACGTTGACCACCAGCCCGGCGACAAAGCAGAGCACGAAAAGCGCCGCGTACCACCACATGGGGACCTCGTTGTACCTGAGCATGGCTCGGTAGTGCGGATCCGGTTGGGCCCTGGTGCGCGCCTGCTTCCACGCGAGAGCCATGTCCTTGCCGTAGAAGATCAAGACGTGGGTGATGAGGGCGCCAATGGCCAAGTTTGCCGTCAAGTAGCCCCAGACCGTGGTGGCCGTCATATAGGGAAGGCCCACGGCGTCAAGCCTGTCTTGGTCAATGGTCCCCTCCCCGTTGAGGATGGACGTCGTGTTGAATCTCGTGCCGTTGCCGTTGAAAAGCGACGTCGACATGAACGGGAAGCGTTTGGCGCCCCAGGCGTTGTTGTAATAGAGCCCCAGCATCGCCACGTACCATATCCCATAGCCAATCCACGAATTCAACTGCTGCTTCAGCGGCAGGGACAAGAACCCGCTCTGGATGTACTGCCAGTCGAGGGAAAAGTTGAGCAAGCCAAGCCCCTCGTTGGGAGACGCGCCGCCAAAGACGGTGGTGAAGACGCGCCGCGTTGCGATGGGCGCACCCATCGACGCCAGGCAGAAGACAGAGATGCCGCCGAACCACGGCACCACGTAGGCGGGAAACACTTGCCACGCGGCGGCCATGGCCATCGCCCAGCCAAACTTGACCAGGCGGGAGCGGTTCTCGCGCTGGTCAAAGTGCAGGTTCTGGTAGAGCACGACCTGCGGCAGCGTCGACCAGTACACCATCTCGGCGGGATAGACGATGAGCGGCCGCAGCACGCCGGCCAGGACGAAGCCGCACAGCGAGATGGAAAAGGTGCCCAGGACGGCCGTCGTCGCGGACACGGCCCGGTCGTAGAATAGCCTTTCCACGGCGTATATCTCGACGCCGGAAAGGCCGTTGTTCCCGGAGGACGCAATCAGGGACGCCACGACGTGTTCCTTGATGCCGAACGGCTGGCCGGAGTTGAGGAATCCAAGGACACGGCGGAGCCATGGCCATTTCACTCTGTCCGGGGGCGGTGTTGCCAGCGCCCACGCCTGGCCGGCAATGTAGACCAGAACTGGCGCGTGTTGCCGTCTTTTAGCGACACGAGCAGACATGGAATAGATGCCGAGTGGACAGACTTACGCTGTATAAAGACGGCCGACACCTGCATCTGCGTCGGCTTGAATGTGTATAGCATGGTGATGACGCTGGACAGCGCTGTGAAGGCCGTGCCCAGGACCATGGACCGAAAGGTGAGCGCTGCGTCGCCATCGTCGCGATCTGAGACGAGAAACCGCGACACGTCGGCTCCTACAGGGGATTGTGTTAGAAAGGCGCGACAGATGTGTACAACGATGAGCAAACTATGCTTACCGTTGCGAATGACCGGATGCCCGTTGACGTAGATGGTGTCGCCATTTTCTGGTGAGTCTGTGACCCCCGTGTGCCCATCCTCTGAAGACGTCTGTACCACATCGGGGCTTTTGTCTGCCCGCGGCTTAGACATGGCAGAGTATCCGGAATAGCTGCGCACGTCTGCCGGGTTGCGTGGCCGAAGGAGCCGAGGAACTGGGAGCCCAGAGAGTCTTGTCGGTCAGTGCTGCCACCTGGCAATGGTTCGTTGTATCGTCAGTTACAAATGCCGTGTTTGCCCCGTGCCTTTATACTTTGCAACGGGCCCGGGTGACAACTCAGCCGGTAGGGAGCGGGTATCGTGACGAGGGCATATCCTCGCAGAGGGGACGCCTACGGTGGCAGGGCCGTCGCACAAATTCATCGTCCTGGTGCAACATACCGGTTGATTGTTGCACCAATGAGGGCGTTTTCGGGTGTCGCCATTGCGTCGAGCGGTGAAAGAGCAAGCTTGACCGAGTGTCGTGCGTTGGTGGTTCAAGACGTCGAGTCGACGGTTGGACGTGGACGAAATCGCGTGATATGCACCCAGAATGCCGAATCTGCGTTCCAATGTTCAAAAGCTTGGGGACTTTTGTTCGACTCCACAACCGGCGCATCATATTTTTTAATTGCCATTTGATTCTTCAACAGATGAGCAAGCCTGCATCTCGTCTAGTGCGCCAGAGCTACAATACAACGCGAGACAGTATTGTCTGAAGGGCGGAAGAAGAAATTATTCTGCTCGACGGGTTTTATGCTCTAGGGTATGCCGCGTTTACATCACCCCGGCCAACAACGAACCCGGCCGGCATCATACAGCGTTCAAACGCTCTGCCCATTGTTCGGAAACAACAAAAATGGCCCCTGGTATTTTGCTCATCAACACAATTCACTCGCTGCTCACAGACATGCATTTGTGCAACTACACCCAGGACATTCATGCAACTTGTATTTACACATCTCCCTTTCCGCATCTCCCATCAGAATCGCGCCCGTTTGCGCATCAAGCGTCACCTATTCAAGCCGAGGCGACAACGCACCGTGACGCCGTTCACCCACAAACTCTGCATATACGGACCTGCTACAACAGAACCAAACATCCCTACTTCATATTCTGGAGGAGATACTTGACCCCGGCAAACGCCTCCTCGCCACTGGGGACAATTTGTTCCGCCGGCAGCACGAATCCATTCTTGCCCGTGTCCCGCAACTCAGCAGCAAACGAGTAGTCGCCCTTGACAACGTCGGCCACGAAGTCGATACTGCTCCCGCTAGCCTGGTAAATCGTCTGGCAAATCGGGCCCGAGTTGAACCTGACCTGGTGCACGGCGAAGATGGCGTCGACGGTTCCCCTGGCCAGCGATTGGATCTCGGCGTCATTGGGTGCCTTGGCGTCGCAAGAGTACCCGTATGCTATTGACAAAAGAACGAGAATTAGCCGCACATGACAACAAACTTTTGGAGGGGGGCATTATATCGCGCCGCCTTACGTGTCAGGAAGAGCTGCGAGTACGAGTGCCAGTCAATGTACAGCTTGAGTCCCTGAGCGTCCTTGACGCCCTGAATGAACTGAGAAAGAGCCTTGGTCTCGGGCGCGTCGCCCTCGCTCTCTCCTTTGAAATCCTCGGCGCAGGGGTTGGTGGAAGCGCCTTGACCGTCCCATTTGTACGGCCAGTTGCGGTTGATGTCGTGCCCAAGGCAATTGCTTCCCCTTGTCGTCTGGCGGTTCTTGCGCCACATGCGGTTGGTCGTTTGGGTATATTTGAAACCTAAAGCCGTAAGCCAGTGTTCGAGACTGTGTGTGAGTCAAGTGCTTCTTGCTTACCATCGACGTTTACAATGGGGAACATGTAAAAGTCGTACTTGTCCACAAACGCGGTAATGTCCTTGTCGGAGCCGTACTTGGTGATGAGCTCGTTGGTCATGTACTCGACAACCTGGCCGTCTGTTAGCGAGCCCTCGTTGGGAGTTGACAACACCGGCAAGCTCTCACCATGGAAGCAATCCACTCTCGCGCATGCACGGTCCCGTGAAAGACGACGGCAGGCTTCTTGCCGCCGCCTGAGCTTCCAAAGATGTGCAAACCAGTGATTGGGTTTCCCTCGAGCGTGGTTCCAGAGGTTACCGTCTTGGCGTTTTTGGAAAACTTGGCGCCGAGGTCGTTCAACCACCGCACGTGGTCGTCGTAGCTGTGATACGAGGTGAACCACGTATCGTTGGCGGATCCAGCTAGATGCGACGGGCAAAACGGTGTTAACTACGCAAAACATCTTCTCTCTCGGGCACTCCAAGGGCATGAATCGTCTCCCCTCCCCCCGACTCTCCCCTCAACTCGCGCCCTTGGCGGCATTCGACAACGTACCAGCGTAGGTCATAAATGTCCCTTCTCGCTTGATGGACTTTCCGAGATCATCATGCATTGTAGTGACGTCCTGGCCATCCATGGCCTTGTGAAATTCCTCGAGCTGCCTCGGCGCGACTTGGATATCGGCAAAGGCGCCCTTTCGCGAAGGGGGCTGCCAGGTAGTGAGTTGAAGCTTGTCGATGACACTCTGGACGTGGGAGCCGTCGTCGGCAACGCGCACACGGAAGACTCTGTGGCCATCATAGGAGAGTTCCGAGTCAATAGCCACGGCCGCGGCTGGCGCCAGCAACGAGGACAAGACAGCAAGAGCCTTCATGACGCCGATTCTGACTGTTTTCCTTCGCAGTACGAGTTCCAAGGCATAAGCAAACTTTATAGGGGTATGAGACGAGAACACTTTGAGGAGTCATGCGCGTCACCCATCAGGACGCAAGGGCAGGCATAGCCAGACTCTTTATGTCAGAGAGGGATCTTCCTGTGACGGGTAGTGTCCAGTGGCACACGGGACCAGGATCAGTGGTCAAGTTGGATCTGCGATCAGCCTTGGACATGGGAGGAAGTGTGTACTTTTGCGGCAATAATCGTCTTGCGAAACGCAAGCTACTTCCGTGTTGAGCAGGTCGGCAAACCAAACATTCAAGGCAACCTTCTACTTTGGGTAAACTGATTGACGCTCGGCTTCCCGGGCTTCGGCACTAAATATAGGATCACCGGATCACCATATGTCGATCCCCATTGCGCAGTGTCGAGCACGCCTCGTGGGTGGCAAGAGCAAGTATAAGCATTGTAATAGGCCTTGTCGCAACTACAACACATGTGTGCCGAGAGCTTTTGCCCAGCTCTTTTTGCTCGGGGTGTATGAAAGCCATCGACCTCTTCTACGAAGTAGAGAAGATGAAAGACGCGACGCTAGTTGCCACTGGGCGATGAAACTGCCGATCGATGCATGGTTGACCTGCCTAATCCAACATGGACAGGTTACAGATTGGCATCAGTCATTCGCAGCCCAAACTGCGGGGATGGTCCCAAAACAAAAGTGCAATCAGTATAACCATGTATGCTTCTGTCCTACGCGGCTAGCCATTTCAATTGGCCGCTGCGTCTGAGGGTGCCCCCGTGCATAACCTCAGCTGTGAGTCTGTGACAGACATGGTAACGCCGGAAGTGTGCCCTGTTCCCAAACACCATGGTTGCTTCAAGGACGGACTGTTTTGTATGAGAAAACAGTGGGTAGCTAGGGGCGAAAAGGGACTTCTGGACCCAAGGCAAGCGCTCCTCCCAGGTAAAAGGTTCAACTAGTAGGTGTTGTATTAGGTTCCAAGAGTCCGACATTATGCTACCGTGTCGTGATGCTCTCGCGGCTCTATCGATTATCAATTACTGCTCCACGTCCCTCTCTGTAGAGTCATGGGATCCTGTGCCTTGTGGTTCCAGTCTCTGTACCCGGCCATGACTTCCTGCAGGCTTCTGCCGGAATTCAATTCTTCCAAGCACGTCTTTGCCCTGTCGACGCTCGCAAACAAGAAGGCTGTGTCGAGGGACACTTTGTCGAGCTGGCCAGCAATGCCCCTCTTGTCTTCCTCATCAGCAATTGCCCGAGTCAAGCGCTGCATGACCTGCCACCCAGCCAGCACCTGGTCCCGTACCGTTTTGCCCTCCGTCTCATCCAAAGATTGCAACTCCCGTTGACCCTGCGCAATGCGAGCGCGTCGCACAAACTTCTGCGGGCTGCGTCGGCGCTGCGCCTGCTTCAAAAGCCCTTGCATGCTATATCCAATGGGCCCGACGACGGCTGATATCGGCTTCAAGACCAATCCGCTGATCCCCATTCCCGTTCCTTTCAGGAAGCCAATTACACCCTCGTTCTTTGCCCCCTGAATTGGAAGGCGAACAACGCCAGTGACACCGTCATATAAGCCATACACAAACTCCTTCCGCGATGCCACCAGGCCGGAGCGAATGCCGGTGACCCGCGTGGGCCGACGAACCGTGTCGTCACCGTATAATCTAGGCGCATTGTGGAAGCCTTGCGCGAGAGCGACAACGAGGTGAGTTGGAGCTCTGGCAATAGCCAACACCGTCTGACCGACACTCTTCGATATGTCGACGGCATACTGGTCCAGCCCTGGCACCGGCGTAAGTGACTTCTTGCGACCTTTCTGGCTCTCATTCGTTGTCGGCGTCGTTTCTGGAGCCTTCTCATCGACCTGATCCCCCGAGGGCTCGTCGCCAGTCTTGCTTCCCTTATCCTGCATCGTCCTCATGCGGTGCCTGACTCGCCGGTTTGCAGTTCTACCAAGCCGAACTGGAGCACTTCCAATGCCGCCAAATATGTCTCGCAAAGAATTTTTCAATGACTCGGCGACGGCTGTCACAGGCTCACCTGGACCTTCAAAGTCATTCCATTCCGTATGCCGTACGAGTCGTAAGTTTTTCCATTTCAGCAGTCCGCTCTTGACAAGTATTTGGGCTGCCAAAACGCCCAGTGAGATATGGGTGCCCTTGACCTTCCAGACAGCAGCCCGTGCTTGAAGTATGCAGCAACCAAGACTCGGGGGGCCATAGAGTCTCAAGTGTTTCGCAAAGGAAGCGACTGTATTTATTGCGCCGTCTCCTTCTTTATTAATTGACTCGGCAATCTTGACTGCGGCAGACTTGGCTTCATCAGTAAGTAGGTACCGGATGCCCTCGGCTAGCTTGTCAGACGTCAAATGCTTATATGGCACGGGTTCAGGACCAGCGCCAGACTTGCCCACCATACTCCCCCAGAAGTACTGGTCGCCAAAGAAGGGCACAATCATGGTAGGGAGGCCGCATTTCAGACCAATCGCGGTTGTACCTGCGCCGCCGTGGTGAACACAGCCCCTGACCTTTGGAAACAGCCAGTCGTGGGGCGTGTTGTCAAGCATGAAGATGTTGTCAGGGACGCTATCTCGGCCAAATCCGCCCCATCCTCTTGACACGAGGGCTCTGACGCCGGCAGCTTCTATTGCATCAAAGATCATGTCTGTAAACCGCTCTGCGTCGTCCACTACAATGGAGCCAAAACCAATGTATATAGGAGGCTCTCCTGCTTCGAGAAAGTCCACCAAGTCTTTTGGGGGTTTGAATGCAGAAGCGAGGTCAAGGAAAACAAACCCTGACACGTCAATTTCTTCGCCCCAATCCTCTGGTTTCGGCACTAAACCCGGTGACCATAGGTACGTGAACGGTACGTGCATGCGGTACGTCGCGCATGGCGCCCACAGGGTCGATACGGGATCTAAAGCGAGAGTATTGACACGAAAGTCGTTGACCAGGTCTCCTAGACCTTGCCAAGTCATAATCTCGACAAGCGGGTAGGAGATGAAGTTTGTGTACCCCTGATCGACATTGGATTTCTTGATGCTGGCGAGGGGATGCGGAAAAGCCTGGGTTGGTGTATACGGAAAGGTAAAGACCAAGTGAAGGGGAAGACCCAGGGCCTCGGCGCAGTGAATGTGCGCAAAGCTAGGTGGATTAGCAATAATAGCATCGGCAATAAAGACATCTCTCTCGTCCATCGTCTTGGATGTAAGATCGGTTGTCTCATCTTCAGTGGCGTGGATACAGGCCCTCCAGAATCCATCAAACATTTCCGCCATGGCCGCGCGCCGCCTTCCAATCTCCCCAGCCTTCACGGTCTCGAGGGTCGGAATCATGCCCGGATTCTTTACCATGAACGCCATGAGCTCAGAAGGGTCACCGCCAACAGAGAAGAATTCCAGGCCCGTATCCTTTTCGACGAGATCTCGGAAGACGGGATGGGTGGCGATGCGGACGCGATGTCCAAACTCTTCCTTGATGTACTTGCCAATTCGGAGGAATGGCTGAACATCGCCACGAGACCCGACGACCATGACGACAATATTCAGGCGCGGTTGTATTACAGGAGCCGGGGGGATGGCCTTTGGCGACGTGCCAGTCTTGTTCCTGTTGGGCCGCATGCTGTGGGCAACGGCTCCAAGAGCATTCGCCAAGTAACCAGTGTGCGCCGTCTCGTGAACCGTAATGCATAGTCGACCGTCCCTCCTTGCCCGTCCCGTGCTTTTACAGTGCTCATTCATCATCAGGATCCTCCTCATCAAGGTTTTCTTTGGTGCTCTCGCACCTGCGCCTGTGCTCCCCACACGTTGGGCATCGGCAGGAGGTTTTGTCGGTGGATGGTCGGTCGCGTCATCGTCGAGGAAGTCATCATCGGATGAGGAGTCGGATTCGTCTCCATGCGCGGAAAATTGTCCCATCAAAGGTATCCATGCTCGGCTCGGAATCGACTCAGCCCTCTGCCTTGTATCCTCGTACGTGGTCGTCTGCCACCTCTCGAGTGCTGAAGGTCTACGAGCCGAAGATCCATGGCCAGTCGGCAATGGCGCAGACTTCTTCCTCAATTGATTGTCCGTCACAGGTCGCGAGGGTATGTCGAGTTTGCCCGGAAAGCTCTGTGCTGGTGGTGGTGGTGGTACCGCCGTAGCATTGTTTCGAGACTGAGGGTCGTCGCTCGATGCATGTTTCGCGGCTGGTTCGTCGGGGGGTTGAAGACGAGGAGTCGGAACGTCATTGTGCGTTGTATCGATCGACTTTGGGTCCATGCTCTCCATTGTGCGCAGGCAGCGCCCGCAAAAACGGCCAGGCGCGGAAAACAAGGCAGATGGATTGGATATTGAGCCTAGTCAGGGCACCTGGGTTGATTTAAATTGGGTGAATGATGGAGCCCAGCGTCACATGGTATGCCGAAACTCAGTTTTGAGTCCAAGTGGCCGGTGGAGCCGACTGATTTGAAGTCGTCATGGATAAAGTGTCGAAGCCATTGCGAATGTCCAAATGCTCAAATGTCGTGCCATGTCTGAATATTTCCAGGTTCCCAAGTTACTAGCCAAGAGAGATGGAGCACTGCACAACAGCTTGCGTGCTTCAATGCTTCCATGTCTCCAAAGGCTTGGGTATGGTGGAGCTTGTCCGCCTTGTCGCTCAAATGGCGGTTCGATGGTGCTGATTAGTAATCATTCCGCGCAAAATGCTGCTACCCTATCATGCTGAGCCATCTCACTGCCAGAGGACGAGGACGATACACAAGAAAGCCAGGCAGCACTCGAGGGATTCCATTCTTTGCCAGCTGCTCTGTATCAAGGACCATGGGGCTTTAAATCGGGCACCGTACTGGCTAGCAGGAGCTGTCCCGACCATCATGGTAGCTACATGCACCATCTTCTTTGTCTTTCTGGCAAGACATATTTTGACTCCCCAAGTCTACGCCTGCAATGTTCGCACTCAGTGAGCCCTCCACGCTCGGATTATTTG